TGTGGATGCACACTCAGAGTTACATCACAAACAAAATGTTTGTAATATTGAGAAGTTTATTAATTATTCTTTTTAATTACAACATTATATGGTACTTGATCTAATCGCATACAATACAATGGAAACTCCGAAGAAATTCATATTTTTAATTCAACGTTTCGACTACTGTTGAGTCATCATCAGGAATTATAATTGATAATCAATTCCTGATGATGACTCAACAGTTATAGTCGAAACGTTGAATTAAAAATATGAATTTCTTCGGAGTTTCCATTCAATCCATTGTATTGTATTCTATTAGAATACTCAGTGAAAATCAAAGCTTAGGTTTTCCAAGACCAAGTTCTGTCTAAATACGGATACAGGATCTTTGCACACAATGGGAATTTCCATATTTTTGCACAGTTTTGCTGCAGCTCTTGTGAATGGTAGGTCGCTGTCCTTTCACGAGTATACACCACGCCACACATCGTAAGGCCTCGCTATTACACCTGGAAAGCACATCACCAGCTCTGCTCCTGGCAAGACATTGGGGGAAAGCTGGATACTCGCATTTCTTACAGCATTCGTATACGGGCACCTCGAAGATTTGCGCTTTGACGTTCAGGCCTGCATGCAAGCAGTTGTAGGTCCAGCTAGTAGCACTCTGGAACTGAAGAAGATGTACAAATCACTATTGTGATTTAATATTATAGAAACAAATGCAAAGAAATGTGATGTGTGATGGTCTCTCTGGATTTATTATGATACAGTATCCAATGTTAATAAGGCTACATTATAGTTTATAATAAATATATATATATATATATTATTAGAAGATGCATTACACGATTGAGTAGAATGAGCAATTACTTGGGGGGACCGGTCATTATTTTTTGGTGGGGGTGCCACCGAAGAGACTGAATATTTTCGTTGGTAAGCGTTTTGCCAATCCAACCATTAACGGTAAAAAAAAGCACCCAGCCTCAAATATTAATTAAAGAATAACCACCACTGGCCAATAACGTCACAAACCAGTTGTCATGCACATGCATTTCTGTGACACGAGCTTGACTTGAAAACTGCTTGTCAATTTTCTGCAGTCTAAAATTTCATGTTGTCTGCACATGTACCTCCTTTGGAGACAACGTTTTCCTCCTGACATCGGAAAATGATCTAGATAGTGACTCTGATTAATTTGCATATTATATTGACATATGACTGTTGACATTGCTTTTTAGTCTTCAATATTGGAGTGAGTCTGATTAGTGGAAATGAAAAAAAATTATCCCAACCATTGAGTTTTTTTATTTATCCAACCTTTTATTCACTCAAAATTTTGTCTACTCAACCCTTTTCTCTTTGGTGCTACCGCCAGCTATAAATAACGACCGGTCCCTAATACTATACATGCCGTAAAGTTGTGCTTATACGCACCCCTTGATTCTGTCTTGACTGTATACAAATGCGGTCTTTTTGACGTGACGTTTTATCGCCAGGACCTCGCAGTTGGTTGAGAAATGCCATGATCTCTGGACTCACGGGGCAATACGATGGTTGGTTCAAACCTACTCGCGGTGGCGAACGACGTTTCTCAAAGAAGCTTTCGATTTCGGCTCCTGCAAGACAAACCATCGCAAATGCAAAACACACGACGAAGTAACCTTCAATGCGCATGTTTGGGAATGGGACCGCTCAAGTTCTTGCGTTTTCTTGACGCTTTAAACTTGGACGTGTTGTACGGAGTTGGCTCATTTGTTAAATGAGCCAACACTCGACTATCAGCAAACTATTTCGGGTTTAATTAATTACGTTGTTTGCCATGCAAGCGGAAGACCGACTCATAGCCTGTGAAGATCAGTGATGGCTTCGCCTTCGGAAGCCCGGAAACTCAAACAAAAACATAACAGACAATGACTTCTGATTCCAGACCATTCTTTCTTGATAAGACCGACTCAACATGTTACTACAAGGTCCGGGGGAACAATCGTCGGTCTGGCGCCATTTATATGGAAAGTGATTGTTATTTACTGAGTATAGCCATATGAATGGTTGAATCATAATCATGTCAGAGCATGTCAAACTTATGTACACTTAATTATTTTTCGAGACCCTGAGTTTACACAAAAGCTATAGTTTAGCTAGCAGCTGATGCAAACATTCGAACAGTGTCTACGTTCACCATAAATACAGCCGTAATATATTCAAGTAGCAAACTTACCCATATGGAAGGTCAGATACATAGATGCAAATCAGCTGTTGACCGAGGTGGCCTGGCAACTAGCTTCATGAATATACCCTTTCGATAATTACGTCACACATACTTTTTGGACCCGGAGCCTCGCTCTCATTAGTAAATTACCCAAGGTGATTGGCTCACTGTTCTTGAGAGCGAGGCTCCCAGATCCAATGACGTAATTATCCGGAAAGGGTGTATTAAAGATAGATCCATGCCAGTGGTATATTGAACTGCCATACTTTTGACCAACAAAAAACGCGATGTAAAGAACTTTGAAATTTTCGCCAAATGTCATGTGGCTGACCCGTGGTCCCCCTCCCCCCCCCCTCCCTCCCTTATGATTTCCGACCGATTTTTCGAAAGGTCAAATTTTGGACCAAAAGTTTTGAAATATATTGAATCTATCTTTCATATGTGAGAAACTTTATTTTTATTGCTATTTCCCTTTCAAGCGGGCATATCTACGATAAGGACAAAGGGTGTACTAGAGAAGTTCGAGTGTCCAAATCAGGCCAATATAATCTAAATACTTAGTGGAATACAAGAGCGTTCAATACAATATGACTGACCCATCTTCTTCTTTCTTGTTGGGCATCTTCTCTGCTGAACGTTGCCATCAACTTGGTTTGACTGTAACAAATTTTGGATACTGACAATATTCTGCGCCGCAGGCATACCTACAACGGTACAATGTCGCACATGTTTATCAATGCACGCACTTACACACTGAAGGCCTTGCCGGGTGCACGCATCAACACCGCTGTTATTGGCAACGCATCGAGTAAAGGCTGGATATTCGCAAGCCTTGCAACATTTTTGTAAATTGATGTTCATCATGAGCTGTCCTTCGTGAAACATTATAGATGCATGTACGCAGTTGTAGGGCCACGGAGCCTACAAACAAGTAAGGTTGATGTAATTTAGTTTAACAGTGTAATAAATTACGCAAGGTTTAACCCTGGCTTCCAGCCTTGGGATCGATTGTCAGCGAAAGCCACTTAGTTTAACCTAAGTTAACCAAAAACACAAAGCAAACTCCCTAACAGCTTGTTTATAAATTTGGAAATATTTCTTCAGAAATATTTTTCTGGATCAGTAGGAGTTTTCTTCTGTGAAGTTTTCGGAAATAAACAGACGTGCAGAAATATATAAACTGAAACATCATGTTAAATTTTAACCGCGAGGATTAGCGCTAATCTGGGTTCGAATACCCGTTCTGGTCAGTACTCATTTGGTTACAACTGCAGTGGAGTTTCAACACCTCTCACTGGCTCGTTTCGCATCTGATTGGTTAATCGATAGATTAAGCACGTTTGATTGGTTGATAGTAGCGGTAGCGGAAGTTAAATCTGAACCTCTCCACTGTTGTGCCGATCACATCGTACTCGACGATGTCAGATAGTTCCTGTATTTTTTTAGCTCCACTCAAATCAGTTTAGGTATAGTCTCGATCCTCATGAAATGTTCGATAATTTATGGAAAAGGAAACCAGTCAAGCGTGACTTCAGTTCGGTCTTGGCATTCGGAGCTCTCCACCTTCGATAGAAGAAAGATATATGCACCATAGGCATCCAAATAATACAGTTACACCAATATATTTGGCGGCAATCAGTATATTTGAAGTACAATTATTTTTACGAAAAACGCAGGAAACACTTGAATTTTAGTAATCATATATAATTACAAATTTATATACAGATGATCAATATTACGTTTTTGATTCAACTTTCTAAAACTAAAATTGCACTGAGGGATTTTGAAAATTTACAAAAGAAATGTGAAGTTAATGCCTGATAAAATCTATAAACTCTATACCCGTCCGTATGAATTATATATATATAATATATATAATAGAATTTAGAATTTCGCTTACCTCAAAATTCCGCAACAGTCTGTTTCATCAGTAAAGAATCATCAGGCGGTATACCGCCTGATAATTCTTTACTGATGAAACAGACTGTTGCGGAATTTTGAGGTAAGCGAAATTCTACATTTGCTCTATCTTTATGATATTGAGCACTCTTTGCGTTTCGTATACACAAACCTACTCTAATATATATAATATATATAATATGTAAACGACGCCGAATTTTGTATTTCATTGACTGTATCCATAACGCCAGGCAATTCGTGCAGTGGGGGGCGTAAACATGCATGGTTCAACGGTTCGGAAAAAAGGTTTGGAGACAAATGTATTAATTGATTAAATTTCCTTGCCTCGAACTTTCACTTACAGTTTGCCTTCGTTGCACGCGGTGGTTCGTTTCTTCGTGTCTAATTTTCCAGGATTTTTGACGAGACTTGGCGCGAAGTATTCTCACGATATCTCTTAAAAGCTCTCTTATACTTTTCTTAACACTTTCATCCAGTGGACAATATTGTAGCGTTTTATTTCTCTCCTCCTGTATTGTAGGCCTAGTGTTTAGTAACTTCGAAACGTCTAGCGGGCCATCGCTGTCCAGCTGGTTCTGGTCTCTTGTTGCTTGCTGATAGCTGAAGGGCGATACTGGGTATGAAAACAACGAAACGATGGCAGCGCATGATATTAATTTGATTATCATCATCATACAATATACTTTAACGAGAAATCTTCTTTAACTTAGTAAGTATATACTGCTAGTTTTATCGAGTCTCAATCCTAGAATAGTCGATGTACTTGAGTATGACGAATAGAAATCTTCAATTTGTTACTGCTTACAACTTTTGTCTATGTACAGTTTTATCCAATATATAGACAATCCTGGAACTTGCGGTATTCTTTTATAAGAAATAGAATACTGCTAGCTTATACAACTCTTTTATGTTCCCTGCAAATATGCAAAAGCCTGCGCTTCTTTATATTCCTTCTTGATGTAGACTCTGTTCTCCTCGAATGGCCTCAAACAGGAATTCCCTCTTCAAATATACTTATCCATCTCCATTATTATTGTTATCGCTTTATAGCTTCCTCTGTGGTATAGAAATTCTTTATAGTCTTGAAGTTTTTGAACAGGACGGGTGTTTCTATGAATAAATCTACTTGATGCATGTAACACACATGCATGCATACATGCACGTACTCCTAAACTTCTTCAAAGGAATTACTGTAGCTTCTTCAATTCAAGCACTTATCGCTCTTCAAATATTCGTTTAATTTGTTAGTTGCTATGGGCAGGAATTCATCTTGTGTTTTAATTTATATTAAACCTTTCATAATTTGATGAAGCTCCTCCTCCTTATATAGTGTTCTTCAAAGAGCATCTTTTTAAAGCACTTAACTAGATACCTTTGAACTTCTCTACCTAACTCGATTAGTATCACCCGTACGACGACATATACGTTGAGAAGAGTTAGGAAGAGGAACACAGTGGGAGTCTCTTGATGTGAAATAGTCGTGAATACTCTCGGCTAATTATTTCTTCAGTATTGTAACTGATATAGCGACTGAGTGCAAAACGGGAAGTTGCAAGCATGGAAACCGATTTTATTTTAGTTTGGTTTTGTTTATATATACATATTTGTCATATAGGAGATTTATCGATACTGGGTACTTCTATCAGTTTTAAATCTTTCTCCTTAGGGTATACAGCAGTACAGTGAAGTTAATGGAAAGCGGCCATATTCTCATCAAAGGTCGTTTAAGGTTTAAGGTTATTCGTCAAGCCATCAAGTGTAAAGTACCGGATATTAAGATAATATAGTCGAAAATGCAAGAAATATGTAAAGTTTCCCACAATTTTAACGTCTTCTGAAAATTTTCCAACCCTCCTTCCCCCCTCCCCGCCCCGCCCCCTCCCACTAATAACGTTGTAAATTATACCCACCGATTAAAGGTGATCTACAGTACGTATGTAAAGAAAGCCTTTGTTTACATTTTTGTGTCCAAAATATTGAGCTTTATTCGACAACTATTTATATTTTCAAGCTTCTAGAGTATAATAAATGATCAAGAAACAACAATCAGGCTTTTCAAGAACTCAAAACATAGTTAAACTGTTTGTATCGTAAAAAGTGGGCTCATTTGTGCACATGCGCAGATCGGACTGTAGATCACCTTTAAAGGTCATTTAATTGAGGTCAACTGAGTATCAGTTCAGCTTGACGCAGAATTGTTGAGTATTATCGTGAGTATTATCTGAGTATTATCGTGAGTATTATCTTTCTAACTTCGATTTTTTTAAATGTGAAAATAAACAATCCAGTGAATGGTTTAGCATCCATTGCGCGATTTAGCATCATACAGGGTGTCCCGCAAGAAATGCAACAGCTATGTTCCAGATTTTATACAGCTATAACCTGCCTCGCTTTAAATAATTACAATACATGAAGTATTCAGGTAGGCAGGCGACGCGGGAAGGGGCTGCACTCTTCCCATCAGCCCCTTCGCCATCTCTCCCAACTACAATACTTCATGTAAACTCGTCACACGCGCATCACTGTTTTTTTACAAAGAGACGCCTGGGTACGAGGCAGCAGCTATAACTATTAGTGGACGTCGAACATTTAATCTAAGAGACTAATTTTAAAATTCATCTTTTTAGATTAAATTTTCGATGCTTGCTTTAATATAGCTAGCTTTGTAAAAATCTGGAACATACCTATTGCATTTTTTTCATTGACAATGTGTCTGCAGGGAGTATGTGCTCGTTGATTTATAAATACAACAGTGGAGAGAAATTAAAAAGTAATTCGTTTGTATATTCATCGTTGTTGCACGTTTCATCTCAGTCGCCACCCCCCACCCCCATTGGACGATTACTTGATTATATACGAAAATACAATGAGTTCAATAATTGGGACCATCGATCTTCTCAAATGGCAGCGATCGTCTTAAATATGCCGCATTACCATTGGCGTATTGCGGGAATCAGTACTTATTTGTAGGAAATTTGCAGCCCTTCTGAAGGAGATGTTGCATGCTGTTAAACATTGTTATAACATGCAGAAAGCCACCATTTATTTCGAGATCAGTAATGATCCTTGAAGGATGTTATTTTGCAAGCGAAAACAACTTTTGTTTGAATGAATTATGCCGTCCATAAGACATAAGATAACGCCTTATTAGGCAATAAATAGGCACTCTGTCACATGAAAATATATTCTGAATAATAATTATGCTGCTTTATATAGACTTAAATTCCCAAAGGGATTTGAGCCAATCTAAACGGGGAAAGTTTGGCCAATCAGAGAGATTCTTTTGTAAATACCCAACCAATCAGATGCCTGTATTTTAATGCTAATAGACAGACAAACTTCGCATGCAAATAATATTCAAATTTAGGGCGGTTAGCAGATAAATTTGGCCGCATTGCTCCGCGTGTAGTTTATTCAATGCTCTCGTCTGCTGGTGAAGAAGTGCTTTCAAGATCGAAATAAGAGGCTCAGAAAACTCCAAAGAAGCACAAAATTCGAAGTCAAGGACAGGACTAAGGTATTTATTGCTATTTTATGTGAAATATTTTTACTTCAGCGATTAAAAGTGTCGAAATAACTTGTCGAAGTTGACGACCGCAAGTCGCTTCGCATTTGGGCGTGTTTGCTAACGCATTCGACTTTCGTCTCATCCTCAGAGAAAAACGCTGAATTTGAGCCTTGTTCATTATCATTCGTTTAAATTATAGTAGAGAAATACTTCGATAAAGTATTCAAGGTGTCTTATAGCTAAATTTGTTTTCAAATTTGTCATTTTAGTACAAACAAGACTGAATGTTGAATTCTCAATCTCGTGACTCGTGGGACCATGTGGCATGTCTGCTGGTGAAGAAGTGCTTTCAAAATTGAAATAAGAAGCTCGGAAAACCCCAACGAAGCACACAATTCGTCAACGACAGGACTAAGTCTAAGGTATTTATTGCTATTTTATATATGAAATATTTTTACTTCAGCGATTAAAAGTGTCGAAATAACTTGTCGAAGACTTTAACGACGGCAAGTCGCTTTGCATTTCGCGTGCTTGCTGACACAGAGAAAAACGCCGAATTAAGCCTTACTTCGATAAAGTATTCAAGAATCAAGGTGTCTTGTATTCAAGGTGTCTAATTTGTTTTTTAAATTTATTTTAGTTCAAACAAGAAATTATGAATTCTCAATCTCGTGGGACCATGTCAAGCAAAGTCTCTTTCTTGCTGGAATTCAAAAGGAAAAACTAACTTGATTTCTTCAAACCTCGAAGACTCGCCAGGCAACAAGTCCGACTCCAACAAGAGACAGACGAAACACGAGCTCAACCAATGTGTGATTTGAAATCGAGCGTGGATCAGTTTACGTCTCTCGTGTTCAATGCATATGATGGGGCTCGAAGAACAGTGACTCCTTTCTACCCTATAGTCGTTCCGGTTGCTGTTAAAGACGTCGAACAATTGTGGTTTAACATCGCCGCCCCTCAGAGGAAGTAGAAACGTTATTCAACACTCCAGAAATGAATACTTCACGATGTGTGTCGCCGGCAAACCCAATGTATACCCCCACACTGCGGTAGGCAGTCAAGTTTTTAAATCTACATTTTTTTGTTTTTATTGCCTATTTTTTATTTTATTTTCATATATCATGACTCATGACTTTTATAGCTGGAAGGAGTTGAGAGAGCCCCACTCGACTGCATGCCTTCTGAATAATGTTAAACTCTGTTTTACACGCTACCATTTCGCCACTAGCACTGTCGCTGAGAATTGTATCGTAGCACAAGTTGATCATGAAATTTGAAGGAACAACTGTTTCGTTTAGGGTACGCATGGGCAGTGGCATTGCAACTTTATTATTTTTCCAAGGTCTCTGTGAGACGTCCAGTCCTTCAGCATGAGCAACAGTACATGTAAAAAGAAAGGCGCCTCTTTTTATGTGTACTGTTTGTCCGTGTTTGGGTGGCTGGAAGTGTTGCAGGTATCTTGGGATATCTAATGCAGTTGTGATGTTATTTCAGCGCTGTTTCTATAAAGGGCAGCTTGCTATGGCTATATGCCTTGGCCTATAAAAATATTCAGTTATTTTTCAATTAAAAATTTTATTTCTAATGCAAGGGCAGCTTGCAGCTATTGCTATATGCTTTAGCCTTTTTGACTGACTGACTAAATTAAATTGATTTCGCAGCTGTTTCTATAATGGACAGCTATTGCTATCACTATATGTCTTAGCTAATAAAATATAGACTGTACAGCTTAATTTCTTGTCAAGATGTCATATCTATATAAGGGTGACATTTCTCACAACATTGCAATGTTTCTTAAGCGCCGTTACTTTTTTAAAAAAGGCAGCGTTCACTTCTGCTATATGCTGAAGCCTTCAAAAAACAAGATTACATTTTTATTACGATGCTATTTCTGTAAGAGGGCATCTATATTGCAATTTTTTCATCGCTGTTTCCATGAAAGGGCAGCACTGATGCTTTTGCTATATGCTCAAGCTTTCAAAATAGACTGTACAGTTATTGATATTTCAATTTTTTACAAAAACCACTAAGATTCACTGCCTATGTATCAGTTGTTACCTTTTGCCATAATCTAATGGCTATATACTTATCAAAATGTGAAGAGCAGTTTTACACAAGTATATAACTATGTATTTAATTACAGCGAAGGAGTAGTGAACAGAGTAGTGGCAGAATGGTGGCTTGTAAGTGGGGTGTCTCACTAGCGCACGTATTGAGTATTTACAAGAGCATTAGGTCTCTTAGGGTTCAGTTAAGGCCAACATGCATGAGCGAGTGAGATAGACTCGTCCAGCTTAGGGTAAGGCATCATGCGTGTATTCACGCACTAGACCCCTCAGGATCGGACCCCAAACCTTTTTTCAACACTAAATATGAAATTACCCCACCTTACCACAACGTATATTGGTGCATATCTTGGGCAAATGTGCATTCCCGTGGTGGATATCTTGGGCAAATGTGCAATTTCACGTGGTGGATATCTTGGGCAAATGTGCATTCTCGTGGTGGATATCTTGGGCAAATGTGCAATTTCACGGTGGATATAAAGTGGTATTATTACTCAACTATAATTACATTACCGAAGCTGTTACAAGGTTAGTGGATATTTATAATAATAGGGTTAAAAACGGGGGGTTCCCTGCGGTTCTGGAACAAGTATGACCGTTATTATTAAGTATAACGGAAACAATATGGCGGATTAGTAACAATATGGCGGTTTGCAACAAAACAATATGGCGAATTTCTAACAAAATTGCGAACCAACTATAATGCTGATAATGCGCGCGCTAAAAACATAAAAGCACACGTTTTAAGTTGATAAATTCTATAAAGATTTTAGGCATGACTTTTATGATTTTATTTTTATTTTTACTTATTATTTTCTATAAATGGGGGCCCCAACTGATAAGTTATAAGTTCATAAGATGTAATTCGTTTCTTGTAATATAGTGTTGTTATATCTATGATATACCAACACTTCAGCTTTGTAAAATAGATTTTAAGGTATTTTTGTAACATAATTATGGAGTTCTCATTTGTAATATATCTTATGTAAAACGTGCGTTTTGTAACGCGCGTTGAAGCTTGCAATTGTATGTAATATACGTATAAAATGTACTTCTGTAAACATAGCTAATTTAAGAGAATAACTTGTAAATGTATTTCAGAATTTCGAGAGATTTATGTAATATAACAGTAATATGATTTTATCAATATATATATATATATATGTGACTGAAATCAAAACAAAAAAAAAAAAAAACAAAAAAAAACGGTGTCCGTGTTTGGGATTCAATTAAGTACTGTTTCTTAGTAAATTTCAAAACAAAATTGATTTCTAAAGTTATCACTTACAGCGCCCAGTGATTCCAAAAACACCTGATTTTAAAGTCGAACCCTTTTGTCCATCAACTATTATTATTTAACTGGTAAAACAAGTGTGTTTGTTTTCGTCTCGAAAGCAAATGGGGCCACATAGGCACCTTTGAGAAATGTTCAAAAAGCCCTTTCGTTCAACGAATATGAAATGTCCCTTCAGTTTAAAAACCCCTTAAAATCGAGTCTTAGAATCCTGAGAACAGTACTTTTTTATCTCTGGGTTCAATTCCTAGAACACTGTTGTTAAATATTGGTCTTTCGATTTGGGTCGCATGTGCAGCACATTCCAGACGGCATGGCGAAGAAAATCTAATTATTGAATGGTTATGTGAAGTTATGAATGAATTCCAGGGTCTTGCGAGTTACGTAAAAGACTTCTCATTGGGTTAAGAGTTATAATTTAGTCCGAGTCAAATTTTAAAATTTCCCAGTGTACTTTGGTAAAATGTTTTACGAATTTGTTGTGACCAATTAACTATTGTTATCCCAACTTGAAGAAATGTAAAAGAAACCATGTAATAATTAAGATTTAATTAAACCGCAACAATCGGGAAATTTGTATGTTGAATAAATTTTAAAGAATGCGTTACCGAGTATATATACAGATCAGTGATGTTAATTTAATTAATGATTCCAATAGTCCTTACACCTTATATAGCTCAGAGCTTAGTAACCAAGCCTTAAGATGATTTACCAAGCGACTGATTGTCATTCTACATCCGGGCGTTTTTTGTCAGTGCCCCGCAATCTTGAAACATAAAAATTTATTTATTTCTGTTCGACGTTTAGCAGTTTTGCACAAGAAAAGTTTGTTTTGTCTAAAACTCCGGCTAGATACGCAATTTTATAAAATGGCATGTGAATACACTGCAGTTAAACAAATTGAAAGCTTCTATATTATCGGTAATTGGCGTATTTTTGTGGCAACATACAAGTGATAATATTTATAAAAGTGATATACCTTACTTGTATTAAAATTAGAAGGACTCGCGCAGGACTCGAGTGTTGCCTGTGGTTTCCCCTTTGCAGTTGACTAAAATTTTTAAATTTCTGAAACCATATTTTTATCGAGTCGAAAGTAGTTGTTTTGTAAGAATCTTACATAGACTGTTCCTGGCTATAAAAAAGCAAAATTATGCTGTTTTGAATCTTACGTTCTATTTGTACTTCAGGGCCCATGTTAAAGAATACCGGATTTCAGTACGCCTTTTAGCCACGGCAGTGCGTGGCTATAAACTCCCTCCACAACAGCCTTTATTCTATTTTAAGGCGCGTTTTTGTCAGTGCCCAGCAATCTTGCATGAAACATAAATTTTATTTATTTCTATTCGACGTTTAGCAGTTTCGCAAAAGAAAAGTTGGTTTTGTTTAAAACTCCGGCTATCTACGCAATTTTAAAAAATGACATGTGAATACACTGTTAGACAAATTGAAAGCTTTTATATTATCGGTAATTGGCGTATTTTTGTGGCAACATACATGAAGTGATAATATTCATGAAAGTGATACATACATACATACATACATACATACATACAAAACTTTATTTAGACCACGCTAGCCTCAACAGCCGTTGGAAGGCTGGTTTCCATGAGGGGCGTGAAATTACCTATTTACAAAAAGTTAACTATGTACATGAAATACAAAATATAACAAAATAAATAAATACAATTGATTTTAGCTGCACGATTATACACAAGCAAATTTCAACTCATTCTTTGTTTCAATATCGACTTGAAAGAGTTTAGGGATTCAGCAATTTTTGCCTCATGGGGAAGATTATTCCAATGCAAGGCACCTGAAGCACCTCTTGCCGAATTCTTTTTTCGGCATAGGTGGTGCTAAATCAGTATCCGAATTTCTAAGATTGTAACTATTATGTCTTTCATTATTAAAATGAAATGCTTCTTTAAGATTGGGTGCGGTGTGGCCATTCAGAACTTTATAGATGAAAATAGATTTAAGTGTGATATACGTTACTTGTATTAAAATTCGCGCAGGACTGGAATTTGCGCAGCGCTAGATGCGCAAATTTTAGTACTGCGGCTGCGCGAAATGTAATCTGCGCGAAAGCTTTGTGGTGTAATATGAAACCCTCGTTGTCAGTAAACTAGTGATTTATTGTGTTAGTCAAATGGGAACAATACAATAATTGGATTTTTGGAATCTACAGTCACTAAGCTTTTTGCCGATGCCTTATTCGTGCATCACTAGACTTGTCCGAGGACATAAAAAGCAATTTTTTCAGCTGTGTAATCGAAAAACACGTGAAAATTGATATTATGCTGTTTCGAACCTTGTGTTCTATTCAACTTCAAGGCCCCTTGTAGCAAAAATTAGAATTTGTCACGGTCTGAAAATTGTACTTTTGGAATCTACGATCAATAGGCTTTCTGTCGATGCCTCATTCTTCCATAAATAGACAGTCCGTGGACATAAAAAGCAAGTTTTTCCAGCTGCATAATCGAAAAAGACGTGAAAGTTAATATTATGTGCTTTCGAATCTTATGTTCTATTGAATTCCAAGGCCCCTTGTAGCAAAAACTAGAATTTGTCACGCCCTGAAAATTGTATTTGTGGAATCTAGGATCAATAGCATAGATATCTTATATACATTAGATAGCGCATCTCTTTTAGTAAAATTGAAGCCAATAATATTCCAGCGGCTACCCCCATTTGAATAGATGGCAGCCATGTTGGTCGTTCCCACTTGGTAATAAACGCTTAAAAACAACAACATTTTTCGTCATTTGGATGTTTGGAATAACGTTAACTTAATGTTTAAGTTCCCTGTTTAAGAAATAGAAAACATACGAATCTTCTCATTTCGTGGGAATGACCTGAGACTGCAATCACGGCTTCAATTTTTGAATTGCAGAATAATTAGATGCACTATCTAGTGTATATAAGATATCTATGGTCAATAGGCTTTCTGTCGATGCCTCATTCTTCCATAAATAGACATGCATTCTGCGGACATAAAAATCATGTTTATCCAGCTGTATAATCGAAAAACACGTGAAAGTTAATATTATGCGCTTTCGAATCTTATGTTCTATTGAATTCCAAGGCCCTTTGTAGCAAAAACTAGAATTTGTCACGGTCTCAAAATTGTATTTTTGCAATCTACGGTCACTAGGCTTTCTGTCGATGTACTTCTGTAAACATAGCTGATTTAAGAGAATAACTTGTAAATGTATTTCAGAGTTTCGAGAGCATTTTTGTAATATAACGGTAATATGACTTTATCAATATATATGTGACTGAAATAAAAACAAAAAAAAACCCCAAAAAAACAGTGTCCGCGTTTGGGAAGCAATTAAGTACTGTTTCTCAATAAATTTCAAACCAAAATTAATTTCTAAAGTTTCCACACTACAGCGACAAGTGATTCCAAAAACGCCTGATTTTAAAGTCGAACCCTTTTGTCCATCAACTATTATTATTTAACTGGTAAAACAAGTGTGTCTGTTTTCTTCTCGAAAATAAATGGGGGCCACATAGGCACCTTTTGAGAAATGTTCAAAAAGCCCTTTCGTCCAACAAATATGAAAAGTCCCATCTTTAAAAACCCCTTAAATCGAGTCTTAGAAACCTGAGAACAGTACTTTTTTATCTCTGGGTTCAATTCCTAGAACACTGTTGTAGTTGACGTGAAAATTAATATAATGCTGTTTCGAACCTTATGTTCCATAGAAATCCAAGGGCCCTCGTAGCAAATATTAGAATTTTTCACGGTCTAAAAATTCTATTTTTGGAATCTACGGTCAACCGGCTTTCTGTCGATGCCTCATTCTTCCATAAATAGACAGTTCGTGGATAGAAAAAGCAGGTTTTTCCAGCTGCATGTACAATCGAAAAAGACGTGAAAGTTCATATTATGCGCTTTCGAATCTTATGTTCTATTGAATTTCAAGGCCCCTTGTACATTTGTCACTGTCTGAAAATTGTATTTGTGGAATCTACTATCAATAGGCTTTCTGTCCATGCCTCATTCGTCCATAAATAGACAGTCTGTGGATATAAAAAGCAGGTTTTACCAGCTACATTCTAATCGAAAAAGACGTGAAAATTAATATTATGCTGTTTCGGACCTTATGTTCTATTGAATTTCAAGGCCCTTGTAGCAGAAACTAAAATTGTACAGTCCATAGGCTTTTTGCCAATGCCTTATTCGTACATCACTAGACTTGTCCGTGGACATTAAAATAATTTTTTTCACCTGTGTAGTCGAAAAAGACGTTAAAATTAATATTATCCAGTTTCGAACCTTATATGTTCTCTTGAATTCCAAGGCCCCCCTTGTAGCTAAAATTAGAATTTGTCGCGGTCTGAAAATTATATTTTTGGAATCTACAGTCAATAGGCGTTTTCTGTCGATGCCTCATTCTTCTATAAATAGGCAGTTTGTGGACACAAAAAGCATTTTTTTCAGCTGCGTAGTCGAAAAAGACGCTAAAATTAATACTATGCTGTTTCGAACCTTATGCTCTATTGAAATTCAAGGCCCCTTGTAGCAAAAATTAAAATTCGTCACGGTCTGAAAATTATATTATTGGAATCTACGATCAATAGGCTTGATGTCGATGCCTCACTCTTCTATAAATAGACAGTCCGTGGACATAAAAAGTAATTTTTTCAGCTGTGTAATCGAAAAAGACGTTAAAATTAATATTATGCTCTTTCGAACCTTATGTTCTATTGAATTTCAAGGCCCCTTGTAGCAAAAATTAAAATTTGTCACGGTCTCAAAATTGCATTATTGGAATCTACAGTCAATAGGATTTCTGTCGATGCAACATTCTTTCATAAATGGACAGCTCCTGGATAGAAAAAAACACGTTTTGCCAGCTTCATTGTAATCGAAAAAGACGTGA